CTTCAATTAAACAGTCATGTTTATTTACGGGTGCTTCCTTATTTTTTTCTTTACTATTTCCCTTCCATTTTCTGATTTAGTTTTCCAATTCATTAAGTTGACTTATTAAACATAATAACTTGTTCGCTGATGAATAATTTTCTCTCAAATTGTCTTCTTTCCTCATTCCTCCAAGTACACGATAATTATTTCGGGACATTGCTTCCTTATATTGATTTCGCAATTATTCCTTCGAGGCGTAGCGTGTCTATTAGAAAGAAAAGGAGTCGCGAACAGAACGGCGAGATGCAAGTAGTTACAGTCTCGGACTTGAGTTTGAGTTCACTTACGAGGCCGGCTGCTTTGAAATTGCAATTTGAATGTGGAGAAAGGAGGCATGGTGTAGTTTGTGCAGTATATAACTTATTCAATAGGTCGACCTCTATTCATTGCGGTCGCGAGAAAGGGTAATAGCGAGGATCTCGAGAGAAGAAGAAAGAGAGAGGAAACACAAAGAAGAGAGAGACAGCAGTTGTGTATGAGAGAGGAGCAGAAAGAAGAGTAAAAACGCATCGCATCAATTCGAAATTAACAGGGAGTGTTGCACGCGAACAAAGCAATATCTGAACGAGCGCGGCTTGTATAACACGCGGTGTCCCAAATATTCCGCGCGTTTCTTCGTTCGCTCGCGAATTCTTTGACTAATTTGCCAACCCGACCTCCTATCTTTCTCTCTCTCTCGCGTCGACACAAATGCGAAGTGCATTGTTACGTGTGTCTTTTGATTCACAAACGCGACCGAAAATCGGGGAATTTTAAACTTGCAAATTTCAACAACGAAACCACGTTCCTCGTTCAAAGAGACGGCTCGGATTGAAAACTAAAAAAAAAAACAAAGAGAATAAGAAGGAAAAGTACACGAAGTACGCGCAGTTCGTTTTAATCCTGATATAAATGCATATTCATACATCTTCTCACGACAAATGCTGAGAGCTATACTTTCGTGCCTCGAAAAGTGTCGAGATCTTGAGGGCTTGAAAAATGGAGATTCAATTTTAAATATAAAAAGATTGAATAAAAAAAAAATACACTAGGATCTGTTGAGGGAAAGTAAAAATTGCTTTCCTTAAAAGAAACGCGAGGGAAGTTCGCGGTTCGCCGTTCAAAATCAGAGGGAAGACTTTATTTTCTATTTACTTTAAACGCTCATAACTTTCGGACTGCTAGCCCGAGCGAAACTTCGATGTACGGTTCACGTTTAAATATAAAAGCAAGTAGTCGAAGAACCGAGTCATTTGGCTAAGGAGGAAAAAATGGGACAAAAAAATAGCCGGAGATTTCAATCGGACTCAGCCGCTTAATTCGCGCGCGGGCGTTTGCTGGCGAAAGGAGGCAGAATGAGGCGAGACGGAGTGCTAATAAAAAGTTGTGTTGAAAATTCGTCTCGGTTTGCCCTCGTAGTTGGAGGATAAACGAGTTCAAGGTGGTTGCGGCGGTGGCGGCGGCAAACGGCCAAGTGAAACGCAAATTCGCCGTTTGCTCGTGCCGCGCGCTATATACACTCGCTTCTTCGTTGTCTGACACGAGCGGGCTCGTAAATCAAGTGTCGATTCACCCGCAACTGTTTAAACTCGTTTATTTACCGACGTCACTTCTCTCGCCTCACTCCGCGATAAATGATGACTGCAGTCCGCGTGTCGCGTATATCCGCGCGCGTTGGTTGCCTTGATGATAACAATTCAATCCAGCCTGACGTCAACAACGACGGCGGATCGGCTATCGATGCATCTCCTGCAAACTCAAGTACCAGAACTTGCCAGGTGAACTGTATGACTCGACTGTGCAATCCGAAATATCTTCGTTAGTTCGTGATGACGCGGCAAAATTACATCTCGCCTGAGAGAGAAAGGACGTTTAGATAATTTTTTCTGATGAAATAAATTTTAATGGAGATACTGAACGATAAAATCATACTCCTCTGTCAATTTTAAGCAAGCACTCGTCCAAAAAATATATGTAATCTCTTCCTTTAAGGGATCCTCTTATAGTCTCAAAAGTATTTTTTTAAAACTAACAAAAAAGATATTTCAACATCCCAAAAAAAGAACTTTAGTTGTGCAAGATGTTCTATTTCCTGTAATTCTATATTCTAAGAGAAAACTTTTGTCGAAAGAACATTTCTCTTCTAATAAAGAGAAATAATATTATCTTGGTTTCACGTCTCAATCCTCTTGAGGTCGCATGTACAGACCTGACACGACATGTCTGACAATAACATACAAAACTCTCGTGTACGTGTAGATTAAGTCAAACTGAAGAAAAAATTTCTCTACAATTTCGCAAACAACTACGAATAATTTTGACTGATTAATTAAGGAAGATTGATGAATGATAACGCGCTATGCGGCAAATGAGCCGCGATGGCGACGCCTGCTATCGTGTGCTGATAGATTAGATTAAACTGGACAAAAAATCCTCTATTATTTTGGAAATAACCACATAAATGTTTCAGTTATTGATTAAAGGAGATTGGCCGATGACTATGTGCGACCGTCTCCGAATCTTCTTTAATTAATGACTCAAACACCTACATATTTGTTTGCAAAATGTTAGAGAGGACCTTTTCCTTTGATTTAACCTAGACTAATCTAATAAGCGCGCAACAGCAGGTGTCGCCACAACTCATTTGCTGCACAACGTGTGATCGTTCGACCATCTTCTTTAATTAATAACTCAACATTTTACATGGTTGTTCGCAAAATGGCAGAGCAATTTTTCGTTCAGTTTGACCCAATCTACACGAGAGTTTTACATGTGGTTGTCAGTTGAGGATAAAATTATATATTTTTCTTCATTTTCCTCTATGGAGAACGTCAGGTCACGTGATATTCATTTCAAGCCTTTTCGCGCGAGCGTGCTTTTACCTTTTTACATGATATATCTTTACAACATAGTTTTATAAACATGTTATAAAATTACCGATATCTTTACAACCGAGCTTCAAAGCTGCGACGTAGAAATACACGTCGCAAAAAATCGCATATATGCGTCAGCAAACGAATGAAGACGCAGAATTGCCCACGGGATTGCATGTAGACGCCGCGGTTGAAAGGGGTGCGCGGCGAATAATTGAGGCGCAGTTTCATTAACGTCATTTGTGAGCGAACCTGCGTCACAGTGCAGAAGTAGCGTGTGGGCAACGACGCCGTTCCCGCGAGCGGGAAACGAAAGAAAGAGACTGTTATTGCCGTTTGCTCTCAAGCGTTTTAGTATCTCTGTCAAGCTAGAAGAACCAGATTAGGAGAATCAAATCGGATCTGCTACATTATTTAATATCTAATTACCAATTCGTACCATCAAAAAAGATTTTGACCTTTACTTTACTTGTTCTTGTTAGATTCTTGTTCTTTACTTTTTCTTGTTAGATTTTGTACCTTTCTTTCTCTCTCTCGTATCTTCGGAAAAAAACAATAACGCTGCTAGCTTAATATTAAGCTAGCCTATTATACAAAAAAAAAAAGAAAAACAAAGTACATAAATAGAAAAGTCCGAATTTGTATCATCAAAAAATTTTTAATTTGCATTCGTCCTTGTTGAAACAACCCCGATTGGTTTCCACCCTTACTAATTTCAAAAGTAAAGTACTTTTCGTCGCCAGCAGAATCAATCGACATTCTTACAGCAAAGGTGCGATAATTTCTACCACACGAATACGAAATTTCAGATTTTGTATATCATTCCTTTGAAAATCACTTCCAATCCCTATTGGCTTCAAAAGTAATCGTTATATAATATACACGGAAAAAAAAGATTTGCTAATATATGGACAACTAAAATTATTAACTGCAGGAGCAAATTTTCTTGCTTTCATAGCAAAGTTATTTAGTTGTGATAGCTAAAAGATGTGTTAATATATATATATTAGCAAATCTTTTAGCTATCTTTTAGCTAAATAACTAAACAACTAAATAACTTTGCTATAAAAGCAAGAAAATTTGCTTCTGCAGTTAATAATTTTAATTGTCCCTATATTAGCAAATCTTTTTTTCCATGTAATATATGTTTTTTCCATAATATGGAATCACAAATCAGGGTCTTTTCAACAAGAATGAATATGAAATTAAAAATTTTTGATAGTATAAATTAATGTAAATACTTATTTTTTCGGTTTTTTGGTTCTGCTACTCTTAGAGAGCGTTTTAGTGGTATTTGGAAGAGGTCAGTTTATCGGTCAGAGCACGCTGAAAATATGAACGATCGATCGACGGATAAGATCGGACCGCGAGAAACAATTCATCGGCATAATTTGCGCTCTCATGACGTCAATCCACGCCGGCGCCGGGATTTTCGCGACTAGACGTGACGCGCCGCGGCGCGCCCGCCCGCGTTTCTGCTGCACGTACATAAACAAAAGACTGATCGTTATTCATTAAATGCGGTAACTCGCCCACGATAAAATATTATCGATCGATATTACTCGATCGACCAATTTGCTCGATATTCAATCGACGTTACCTTAAGCTTCGTTACCGCGCCGTTGCGCTTAAAATAAACGCCTGATTTCGTCCTCGTGATAATAACCCACTCGGAGATCGACTTTGGTGGTGTTTGACAATTTTGTTTACCCCGTTACAATTAATTTGATTAGCGCAACGTTCCTCGACAGTTGTATCTCTTTCACGCTCTTGCGCCTCGTGCAAACGCAGAAACAATACGTGCGTTCTCACGTGCACGCGCGCGATTTCTTCTGCTGAAAGATCGCGGGATGTATTCGACGTTTCCCCGTCGGGCTCGAAAGCGCGAGCGGAGGTCGAAATCGCGATCCTGAGATTATTTTCCGGATGGGTGAGTTAGTGCGCGCACATGTGCGGCGCGATAAGTACGGTTTCGGCAGGAATCTCGGAGGAGACCTCGGAGAGGAGGCTCGGAGAACCGCGGGCTTTACAAGCGCGCGGAATTCCCGCATTCTTCGTGCTTTGCATCCGCCCTGCGGAATTAGGTAACTTTGGAAAAGTACTCACCGGAATAGCAGGAATCCCAGACCGGTAACCGCGGCTCGCCGAACGTCGTCGTTAACGTCGGAAACCTGTTAGGAAAGAAAGAGAGAGAGGAGAGATCACGTGCAATTGTTCCGCGAATATTTTCGAAATATTATCAAATATTCGTTGTGGAATACTTTCAGTGCTACTGTCGGTACGCGAGACGTCGGCCGAAAGCTTGCAAGCGTTCGTCGGATTTTACCCATATCTCTTTTATTAATATTCATGCAGAAGATTTGTCATTTTTCTGTTAAATTTTTGTGTAAAGTTCAGGTATTAAAAAGAAAGCAAAATGAATGTTTAGATGTTTATAAATGTTTATAAATGTTTAGAAAAATTACGAGTTGATATGTTCATTTCACTCTTAAAAATAATTAATCTTTCAAAAGTGGATATATAATTCGTTTTCTATTTTATTTAACAAACACGAAAAACCTTTTGCCTCAGCCTGATATATTGAAAGAAAAAAATATCTGAGAAATTAAAAATATTTATTCAACGGATATTAATAACACATTCACTTAAATCTAATTTTTTTTGTTTAAATAGAAAAACGCTTTCATGAAAAGCCATGATCTTAGAAAAACATGTATTTTCTCACTTGAAAGAAATTTTGTCTTAATGTAAAAAATATATATATTTACAATATAAAATATATATTATTAATACCCATGAAATAAATATTTTCTATTCTTTAGATATTTTTTCTCTTAATATGACAGAACAGTTATCCACATTCTGTCATTTTTCAAATCAATTATTCGATTCCACGTCTGCGAAAAGACTAATCTTTTGATCCAGCGAGATCATCTGAATTTTGCAAGCTTCCAATAAAATAATGATCACACGACATTAAGGGCCTAGACACCAAGAAATGCTTAAGCAAGAAAATTGACTAATCACAATCAATTGTTCTCTAACCGTAGAGAGAATCGTCGACTGTGAGTGGTCAATTTTCTTAAGTTTTTCTCTTCCTTAAGTTTTTCGCTTGGCCTAAAATTCGAGCAATAACGAGCAGCCGAGCGACGTCGGCAAGATTAAGACGACGCATCACGTGGCGTTGTCGCCCGACACTCACGGCAACGTGCAGGAGCTTGCGGATGGCCTGATTGTTTCCGGTGCCGCAGTAAGCCATCGCTAAAGTGTACATGCCGCTCCTACGCAGGATCGGGTCCTTGTCTGCGCACAATGATGTCACCAAGGGATCCGCTTCTTCGAGGCGACCGTACATCGTGAAGGCGATGCCGACGGCCAGGCCTCGGAGAATCTTTTCGTGCTGCGTCTCTTGGGCGTACTGGAAAGACAAAGCGTCATAAAAATATCGATAATCAAGCCGTTGCGAAGCCGACGTTCCTTCTTTACGGCCCGTTGATAATTTTATTTTATATTTTTTAAGTTTATTATTATACATTGTTATGTTTTTCAAACAACGAAATCCACTCGCAAATAATTTAATTTAGCAGTTGCGCGATTCAAGCTCTTACAGGCCGTATTTTCTATACTTGAGTCATACCTAAGGAAACCTTATTTATCTTAATTATAGTTATTATTCAGCAAAACTTCACACACAAGCAGAAATTTATTTCTAAAAATTATATTTATTCTTAGGATTCATAAAATTTATAGAATTCATATTTATAGAATTTTACATACACACACCACACTTTCTTTCATACTTTATAAAATTCATATTGATTCTTAAAACTTGCACTATTTATAAAAATTTATTCCAGCAAAAAAATCTCTATATAAATTACATTCGTAGTATGGAATGGAAAATTCTTTTCGCACGCCATAGAGATAACTTGTATTTAGTAGTCGACGCGCTAATCGCGTTGGTAGTGAACGCGATTCTAATTCCAATTGCATTTCATTAATGGAAAAGTAATCCCTTTGATGCTACAAGTAGCGATGTAGAACTCATAACACTTTAATAAATATTTCAGTTTCACGATGATATCGATATCGAGAAAGGCGACTTGTAATGGCAGTTCTGAATATACTAAGAGACTGATCAAAACAGTCCACATTTTCCGAATAGCGGTTAGCGGCCATACTAACACGATTAACAGGCTTAACCCTTTGAGTGTTA